CATTTTTCTTTTCAAAGTAATATTTTTTGTTTCGTTGAGTTGCTATACTCCTAACCCACCACTAGAGGTCTCTGCCTTACAGCACGTCTCCTTCAATGCTAATTATCAACTAAAGCAAGTTTATTCTAAAACAAATAATCTTTATTACAAAACTATAATGTAAAGTAAAAACAAGAAGTGCTTAGTAATCTTTGAATGAATTGCCAGCTGACTGCAAGTCAAAAATTAAAAAATTATAAAGAAAGGAGGACTCAAAGAAACAAGCATCCAGAAACTTTACTGACTTTGGAGCATCCATTGATTAAACTTAATTTAGTAAAAAGTTCTTTAGGACAAAGAGAGAAACTTGCTCTGCTCTTCTTGAGAAGCTTAGAGTAAAACACCTAAACAGAAAACAGAATATTCCACATTTAGTTTGTCGAGTAGATGAGAAAGATATTAAGATTCTTTTTCAGATTTTAATTTCAGTGAAGTGGACCAGCTACTTTCCCTTCAGTGAGTCCTGCAAAACACAATTTGAAGAAAATCAAGCTTTCAATAAAAGAAAATTAGATTTCATTATTAGATTATTCTAGAAACAGCAATGAAGATAATTTTCCACGTCAAGTTATTTTTTGGTTGGGAGATTAAATCCATTTTTGCATCAGATTTGGATTCCACATCACGTATCTTTCCAGTTTGTGGTTTATTGTTGTTATTTCTAAGGTTGATGATTAATTCTTAAGTCTCACCAGTGAGATCAGGCCGTCGTTGCTCCATTCATCACACGCACGTACGGCACAGTCATGCTCAATTGTAAAAAAGTTATAGAGATGATGATGAGATGGCATCGAATCTTTTATGGTCTAAATTGAGGCTTGAGATTGTATCAGTTTCAGGAAAAAAAAAGTTGTGTAACAATCAAGGTTACCTTCAGCGGATCTAGATGGGAATGTTTTCTCGTTAAAGCCAAGAAATCTTTCCTCATTATGTTGCAGCGAAAAGCTGAATTTATCTTTTGATAGAGACGTTCTTCAACATAAACACGTTTCTACTCAAACAGTCACTGTAGATTTTAAACCAATAGTATTTGGACTGCTGTTACTGGTAAAGGTCACTGCCAAATGGTTACACCACAAACTGTAAACCAATTGAGTACAATAAATGAATAATGGAGTTAATCTCTCTGTTGTGTGACATTATCGCCTTTATTTGTCGGCAAAAAACATTTCCATCACGTTGAAATGTAGCGTGAGGAGTTTGCTCTCTTTTTGAACGTCACTGATACGCGACAAACGTCACTATTCTGCGTCCTGCTCCACAAAAGCGGGAAGAAAAACGACAACCATAATGGACGATAATGAGGATTAAGTTGTTAAACTCCATTAACAACTTAATGTTGTTAAAATGCTGCCTCTGGTTGGACAACAACTTTAAAATGGTTAACTATGCTCCACCATTAGCATCCATGTTTACTGTCGCAAACACCGAGCTGCAGCTTTTTCTTATGTCATCTATATGTGTGATGTGAGTTCATACAGCTCAAAGGTGATGCATATTATCTTTATTTATGTATTGTATATATTTATTTGATACATATTTATTTTAAAATAAATATATGGGCCTCCGTGTCTGTCAGACAAACAAATCTCAATAAAATTGTTGCTGCTGTAGCCATTTGTGATCAAATATGGGAAAGTTTGAAGAAGTATACTTAAATTAGTTCATCCTTTGACTTAGGAGTCTTTTATACTGAATTGATTCATAAATTTTTGATAAGAGCTCAACAAACTGTGGAAAAAACAAAATCTAATCTATAGTAACAGATCAGGCTGGAGACTCTGGCAAATGGCAATGAGCAAAATCTTTATTTCAGTCGTTTGCAAACGGAGAACACACAGTAACCACAACACAACAGCTGTACCTACAATGAGTTCTGACTTGGAGCTGCAAGCTCTCACAATAGTATATAGAATTCTCTATATATTGTGAGAGCTTGTTGAACAGGTTTAATGCACAGTCAGTAGCCACAGGGTGGACAGGATGCATCTCTCCTTACTGAAAGGTCAGTTAATTGTTTAGTTGACAAACATCTTCTTGTTCAAAATATAGGAGTTTCCAAAAATTAGGATGCTAATGGAACAATTTTCCATAACAAAAACATTGTAAGACCTAGTACTTACTCTGAGCTTCTAACATTCAATGGAGAAATTTGTTAGACCTTAGGGCTTATTCCATCTTACTGTATTTACCTAAACTTTCTGTTGTTATCTGTTAACAAACACTGGCGCCTTATTTTAGTCACTGACAACCGACTGGAACTTTTCCAAGGAGAGGTCAAAAGGAAACCTATCTGATTCTTCAGAGACTCTTTGACCTGCACGTTATAACAGACTGAACAATATGTGTTAAATGACTAAAGAATTAAAATAAAATTCTTAAAAGAAATAATAGCACAATTTTTACTTCACACAAACAAAACAACAGTAATAATAAAAACCAAAATATTTGGCCCCATCTCTATCAAGAAGAAACATCAAACTTAAGAGCAAAACCCCAAAAACAGTCATTTTTATTTGTATTGCATATTTCAGCAACGACTCAGATCAAAGTGCTTAAAATCATAAAAACAATACAAAAGTCGCACTTGCAGAAAATAAATTATATATAGGAGAGATAAATCTTACATAACGATGCCATTGTAATCTATAATTATATAACATTTCTTGCTTTTAATTGGCTCCTGTCATCACAGCTTTAGTACAATAGCTTCTGTTTTTCTCTTCTTTTCTAACAGATGTAAGAAAAGACATGGATACGATGTTTGAGAAGCTCAAAGGTCCAGCTTTGGAGGATATTCCTTTTACTGTTTTATCACCACAATAGGTCAAAAGGCTCCCTTAAACCATAAAATCCCATAAAGCCTAATTATACACACCAGATTTAAAAGCTGACCTCAAGAAGATTCGGTTCGCCTCAGTCAGCAGCTGCTGCTTTAATCTGTGTAATCTGTCCAGTGCGCAGCCTGGTTGTTTAGATTTAATAGGCCATTTTGCCTCAGTTAAACTCAGACGCTGGTCATCCTTGATGTCATGTGTGCAGCACACACTTGTTATATGAACCCGTAATCTTTCTCTGAGTGATAAACATCCTCCCGTCTGCCTGTGCAGCGAGTTGTACCCGGACTCTGTCCCGACTGAAGATGTTGGAAATGCAGCAGATTAGTTGAGATAACGTTTACTTTGCACAGCAAATCTGGAGCAAGTCACACAAAAATCAGGCACCTAAAAAATTGTGGCGTCATTTCCACTCCTCATATGTAAAGACAAAAGTCGGAAATATATTGTTCAAAGCACAGAGACAGAGACCAAAATCACTTTCTGATTTATTCTGGTTCTTGTTAACGGTTCCAAACTTTAACACGTGTTGGGTTAAACGATGTCTGGGGTGTGTCCGTGCTAGTTTGACTAATTTACTCAAATGAATCAAACAGCTGTCATTGACCATGTGCACAAATTGGCAGCAAGTCTTTTACTTCAGTTTGGAACATTTTCTTTGGAGAATAGTTTTAATTTAGGAACATTAAGAAGGGTTTCAAGTATGAACCACAGTGTCATCTAATTTCCAATGGACTTCAATCCAAACTTTGAGAACACCACTGGAGCTTCTTGAATTATTTTCTTGTTGCACAGCACAAAAGCCTTTTTTCCTTGTGGTCATAACTTAATTGTTGGACATTCTCTATCAAGATTTTTTGGTGACCAGGACCTGAAGCTGAAAAGCAGCTTCAAACCTCCACCACCACTTTGTTTGGCTGTCAGTAAAGCCTTTTTCCCCCAATGTAACTGGACACACATCTTGTAAAAATTTACTTTTTGTCTCATCAATTCACAAAACATTTTCCCAGAGATTTGGAGGTCATTGATATTTTCTGGCAAATGTAACACGAGTCTTTTTGAGTTATTTTTGTCAGCAGTGGTTTTGTCCAATGCTCATTGCTTACTTGTGAGCCGAGCAAAGATTTAGCTGTTATTCTTTTCTTTTTTTTTTTAAATTGAATTGGCTGTATGGAATTGGTCAATATTCTTGAATTGCATTACTTTTTGAGCTCTTGTAGCCTACTTCATGTTGTCAGACCGGGTCTAATCAGGACTGGGTGTGGCTGGTGAAACTGAGCTTGGTTGCTTTCCAACCAACAGGACTAATCACAGTTAATCAATCACTTAGCAAGAGAGATAATTACTTCCTCACACAAGGCCAGGTTACTTTTTACATCTTTTCCCCTGATAAATAAATTTTACCGTTTGGAAACTTGGTTCACTGAGTCCATTCTTATCGCAGGGGTGAAAATTCCCGGCGCTTAAGGGAAGAAACACTTTTTCTCAGTCATGGCTAGTTATGAAGGAGACGCAAAAATAAAAGATGCTTTTTAGCATTTTGTAGATGACTATCTAAAAAAGCCAAAAGGGAACAAACTAGCATTCGCGTTGCTGCAGCTTACATATATTTCATGAGAGAACCAGATTTATTTAAATTGCAGTAAACTTTTGTTGGAGAAATTAAGTAATTGTCACAACATAGTTTATCTCACAATGGATATTTATTCTTTATTCAACAGTGTTGTGTTCATTTTTAAGCCATATTACATCAGCTAATACATTATTTCAGCTTTCATCACAAATGTTAAAGGAACTGCGATAATCGTTTTGTCAACAGGAGGAAAAGGAAATTCTTTGCTCCAAGCTGAAGGATTCAACTGGGTGTTTTCTGATAAGATGACCAGGACAGTCTGTCGCCTCTTATATCTGCTTATCACAAACATATCACTATCACTTTTCCATTTGGCTAATATAGACTGATGAGCGTGGAAACCTACATTTTAATCAGCAAAATACCCTGAATCATAAAGGGTATTTTTGACTCAACCAGGGTTAATGATTGAGTCGAAAAGGAACGAAACCGTCTTTCCTTTCTGGTTTTCAATGTGTACAAATTCACTGTTCCAGTGAAAAAGCCATGTGTCAATTCAGATCAGTTTATTCGTACAGCACCAGTGATTCTTCTGTTATTACAGAGAAAGAAAACGATATTCAAAAAGATACATCATTTTCCCATTAACAGATATGTTCATCATTCCGTCATAAAAATAATTAACTTATGTAAAAAAGAAAAGAAAAAAAAAGCTACAGAAACAATAATCGGCTTTGGTTAAAAACAGAAAATCCAAAGCAAACTCAGTGTCTTTGTCAACAGCCATTTAGCAAAGAAAAGTGCATCAAAATGTGTCACTGAAAAGTTAAGAGAAACATAAATTAAGCAGCAAAGACAAAACCCCCCAAAACAACAAAAGACACATTTCTATTCATTTAACATTTACTATTTTAAAAATGAGTTTACATTGTATTGGGTCACATTTGATGGAGTTCAGTAACATTTTATAAAAACTCTGAAAAAACATCTCCAAAGTCTGTTCTATGTTACTGGTAGTTTTAATGTGTTCACATTGTCATACAACCTTTTTATTTGGTATTTGGATTCAGGTTTTTATTCACTCCATACTGGGACTTCCCTGTGTATGATCTCCAAGTTTTACATTTATAAAACCTCATTTCATTTGAAGCACATCAGTATGCAACTCTTTATATTTGATACAACATGTGCATCAAGGCTACGCTTTATTATTTCCTTGCAATCTGTAAAATCCTCCTATAAATAAGGGAGGTTTCTGCACCTCCATCATCAGTTTCAGTTTTATATTGGATTAAAAAAACTCTCTGTATTTTATCAGATTGCATGATGTGCTCAGTTTGCACAGTGACATTACAGTGTTCTGTGTGCATGTCTCTGCATGTGCAATCAGAGGTTATGATGCACTCAAGTCATAGGACAAGATATGCAGAGGATCCAGAGTACCCACAGTAAAGGATGCAAAGAGCTAAACTAACTCAGGGACGAAACTTTCTGGGGTTTACAATTTAGACAACTTTGAGGAAATATTCAAACATTCATTTAGATTTTTTTTTTTTTGTCTAAAGGCTTTACAATGTTTTCAGGGAAAAGATGAGCCATTAGGAAAGTCTTGTTTAATAGAAATAAAACTACTAAAAGCTTATCTTGTCCTCGTAAAGTGACAGCAGCAGCAGCAGAATCCAGCCGGTTAGGATGCCGGCGTTCTGCAAGAGAAACTTATGCCACGGCTTCTTGCTGCTGACGTGGACCAACGTCGGGAGCTGGGAGTAACAGAAAGGAAAGTCGGTTTTTAATGCGTTTGGGAGGATTTTTGTTTTTATTCAACGGTAATCAAATAGTAGCACTCACCATATCAGCCAGACCGATATAGAGAAAGAGCCCTGCAGCTATAGCACCTATCCACTGCTGGGTTGCAAGGTCAGTGGCTACAGACAGAGAGATATACAGGCCTATAAAAGAGGTGAGGGCGCTGCCCACGTTTAAAAGCAATGCCTTTTGGACAGACAAGCCGCAGTGGAGCAGGATGGCAAAATCCCCTGCAGAGATAACAGCAACACAGTGATGTTAAGTGTTTAGCTAAAAAAGCCCAGATAGGATAAACTCCCATGCTCAGAGTGACGAAGCTCACCGAGTTCATGAGGGAGTTCGTGGCAGAACACCGCCACTGATGTGGCCAGGCCGGACTTCCATGACATGGAGAAAGCCGCGCCTATCGCTAATCCGTCTGCAAAGTTGTGTATCCCATCACCAATGGTTATCATGTAAGGTAGCAGCTGCTTTTCTGTAAAACAAAAGATTATAGTTTGTGCAATAAAAATGGTGATTATCTCGATTTCATAAACTCACTTTTCTTTGCGGGGGATGTTTTACTCACCTCTTCTCCGCTTTTTCTGCTCTGAATCATACCTTTCTTCTTTGTCTTCATCATCAACCTGAAATGTTTGCACTACCTTTAATGTTCATTCAAACAATTCAAGCAGGTTGTCTTAAAAGTAAAACCACAGGATGGGGAATTTATTTCTACCTACTTTATCTAAAATAAACCATTTACTACAAGACAAGTAAGTGATGCATTTGTTTTCTTTTTCTTGTGAAGGTTAATTCAACTTCTATAACACCCATTTCAATCAGGCACTTGTCTTAAAATGTTTAAATGTCATTAATTTGAGTCGTTTACTCACCAGATCTGCCTTGGACACAGACTGAGATTTCTGTTTTTGTTTCTTTTCCTGTTGGTACATCTCTAAAACCCCAACATGATCGCAGTGGTGAGGGTTTGATTCGTTCTACAAGAGGGGCAAAACATTTTAGGATAGAGATAAATATAGATCCTATGGCAAACTACAGAAAGGCTAAACAGAAAGTAACTTGTTCCTATTATTTCTTATTTGATGCTTCTTAATAGTTGTGATGAGACCAGATGTTCATAATGACCAAGAAAAAGACACAAAAGTTTTTTTCCCCCACTTTCAGTGTTAAAATCATGCTAAAGTTTTTCTATATTTGATCAGTTAGGATTATTTCTATCTACTAATTGGCATAAAAAAGTGACACAAATTAAAATTAAAATATATTGTCTTTTAATTTTAGGAGTTTGTGTCCAACAGTCTGTAGAAATTGGTAGGTTAAACTGTATGACTTAAATGTTTCTATAGTATTAAAATCAGGGCTTTATTATGGTGTCTCCAAAATATTGGTTGTTTTATAAAGTTATTTTGTATTTAAAATATATGATTGGAGGAATTGTCCATTTATAAAACCAATTTCTGCTCCAACTTTTACATTCTGCTGCTGATTTAAGATGTTTCCTCCATTTTTAACCATAATGTTCCTTATGCTTGAAATCTTCATTCCATTTCTCCAAATCCCTCCACAGCCAATCAGACGCTCACAGCCTTAAAAGCTAAATGGTCTCAGTTTATTTTTGAATTTCTAAAAACATATCCCAATATTCTGGCTTTCAATTTATAGAAATAATGTTGAAAGTCTTAACTAGCCTACAAAATGTTTCGTCTGATTTAATGTGAATTAGTCATTTAAACCGACTTTTATGTCTGGAGCAGATCTGAAGACTTAAAAATAGATTTTTAATGACAATATGGAAATTATATTTTCAGGTTCAGTGTCTCCACTTACCCCCTTGTCATGATTGTGTTCATTTTCATTCGTGACCAGTGAGAAGATGGTTTCCATCAGGTAAAATACATAAACCCCTCCAACCACCGTCAGCATTTTGTACGTGTAGTCTGGGATTTCTGCGTGATCGCCGTTTGAATGCTGATGAGAGTCGCTACCGTCCTCTGTGTGAACATGAATACCAAGAACCTGAAAGCATAGCGAGAGGAAGGTCAAATCTAGACATGTTAAAGCTTTTTTAAATGTATTTATTGATAATGGAGAAGGCATAATTTATCCAACAGAACAAAAGTATTTCGTATAATTACTTTTTTCTTCACCCACCATTGGTACGAGGTGCAGCAGGGCGTCTCCAGTCAGAGCACCGACAGCCATGCTGATGCAGAACTGGACACACATCTGGAAAAGTTTGGTGCATGATGTACACAGCAGCATCACGATGCCAAGCATGGAAATGAGGGTTATGATCACATTGGCAATGGTTGCATAAAGGTATTCTGCAGGAAGAAGAGCAGGAGACAGAAGAGGTCAGGTTTGTGAATCAGTTAAAATAACAAATCCAAGCTTCATGAAGTGCAACCCAATCGAAGTGGCAGCCGTTGCGTCACGCTCACTCTCAGCGGGGGACGACTCCTCGGGCGTCACAGGTTCTGACACGTTGGTGCACGACCCACTCAGGATCTGCTGGACCAGAGCAGGACTGAGCTTTGCAACGCCAGATCGACCCATGCCAGAACTTTCCTCAGTAAGTTTGTAGATCTGGATCAGTTCGTCAGCTGTGAAACAGTGCTGAAAAAAACGAGAACAAAAGAAAATGATTTAAATGGCATATTTTAAAACATTATTTGCAATATGGTGCAGATTTTTTTCCCCAAACACAAAAGTTTATAATGCTTATTATGCAGTGTGTGCTTACAAATAGAAAAGTGAACGATTTGAATTTATTGGTTAAACAGCTGCATGATTAGAAGTGACATTAGTGGGAAAAGTGTTTTGTCCCCTTTTGAATTTCTTGTTTGTTTGGAATTTTGTCTGACATATTCCAAAGTATCAACAAACTTTTTTTAGTTTCCCAGTCACAGAATAAGTGATTTTGAACATTTATTTGTGAAGAAAGCCCCCCAAAAGATTCCTTTAACGGGGTAGAAGTGGATAGTTTCTTTTTTCACAGCAGATTATGTTGGACCAACTTAGGGCTGGACAATATTGATATTGATTGATATCAGTCAATATCAATAATCACCGATTAGTTTAGCGAGACCTTTCCTGTTTTATCCACAGTTTTCGCTCCACAACGCTTTTTATTTTTAAGCAGCAGCTATGAGGCAAAACACTGAACTGCTGCTGCGCCAGTTACTCAACAAGTCGTTGCTAGGTAACCACACGTTACTTAGCAGGCTGTTGCTAGGTAACCACACGTTACTTAGCAGGCTGTTGCTAGGTAACCTCACTTTACTTAGCAGGTTGTTGCTAGGTAACCACAGAGTCGGTTAGTAAATTCCATCCTTTCCTCTAAATCCCCCAGAATGCAGTGCGGTTCTAGATCGTAGTTCAGCGAAATTATCTAATAATCTATCAAGACGATTAACTATTGATATTGACCAAGTGTTTATAGCAATGTACAGCTGTGGAAAAAATAAGAGACCACTTGAAATGATCAGTTTCTCTGATTTTACTTTTTATAGGTTTCTGTTTGATGGACATTGTTCTTTTATGCTATGAAATATTTAAACAAATATTTAGCAATTATTTGCAGAAGAAGAGAAATAGTCAAAATAATGAAAAAGATGTAGCGCTTTCAGACCTCAAATGATGCAAAGAAAACAAGTTGATTTTCATTCAGAAACGACAATATTAATGTTTTAACTCAGGAAGAATCCAGAAATCAATATTTGGTGGATTAACCAGGAGGTTTTCATTGGGGTTCAGTGCAGTGGGCTCTTTATTTTTTCCAAAGACGTATATTGTTGTTGATTTAGGGTTTCGTCATGCATGTCGTACAGGAACTTACATGCTCCCAGTTGCTACTGCTTCTGCTGTGCTTCCTCCGATGATGATCAGTGTCTTCGCTATGGTCGTGGTCGTCCTCTGAACCAATATTCAGGTTCTTCATGAGAACCTCCAAATCTGCAGCACACAAAGCATAGCTGAGCACAGATATCTAGACGTGAACCATTTCTCCTTCGTTTCAGTCTGGACTGGACTGTCGGATTATTTACCATGAACGGTGAAATTTTCTGAACCAAGTCGAGTCATGATGTAATCCAGGAAGAAGTTCTCTTCAGGCAGGGACTGACCACTGAAGCAGTTACCAAGCAGGGCATAGTAGAGGACACGCCCCATCACTGCGCCTACTTCCTGTTTCTGGTCTGGAAACGACGGGTCCACCGCCGCCATGATGCTGCTGGCCGCGACACAGCTCTGAGGACAGAAAGGTAAGCATCCACAACAAATAAAAGGTTTGTCTCCAAGCTTCCTGTAAGTTTAGTTGATTAAAAAAAAAAAAATCACAACTCACTGATGGTTTAGAGACTTGTCCTCGTTTCAAATTTGAAGTTATTTAACAAGTTTGACGAAAGGAGGGAGAATGTAACTTAGTTCAGTTTAATTAAAGTTACTGCTCGGAAATCTGATCTTCTGGCTTCTGTTTTGCTTCACATTAAAGCAACTACTGCATTAAAAAAAGATAGCTGTTCAAGAAATGACTCAAGTAAAAAAAGTATTTGGTTAAAATGTCTACTGATCAAATTAATGGTTTAATATTTAAAAATTACAGACCAAAATATGAAGTGAAGTGGAAATTTTTGTATTTTAAAAGACTAAAATGACAAAAAAAAATTATCAAAACCAGACAAAAAAAAAATCCAAATCAATTTATTTCAATAAAAAACAAATATTATTAAACTTTAACAAAAACTGCAGGTGTTTGTCTTTGTCTTTTTAATTTTTGGTTAAAAAATGAGAACTAAGAGTAGAAATACTTCATAATAAAATTACTCAAGTAAAAATAAAAATTACAGCGTAGTAAAAATATATACACATATATTTTTTAATGTTATTCAAGTAAATGTAATTGAGTAAATGTAACTAGTTACTATCCAGGCTTGGGTGTGTTGAACAGCACTAACAGTTTAGCACTGCAGCAAAAACAAGCTAAAAAAAACAAGAAATAAATATGCTGTCTGTTAAAAAATATTAATTATCCGGGATGAGAAACAAAAAATATTAAACATTCTCATAATATTGTAAAATATAGAATGAAACTGTATGATTTGTATGATTGAAGCTGGAATGTGGTGGTTTTTACCAGGCCTGCGTCCAGGGAGGTTTCAGGAGAGCAGTGTGAAACTTTGACTTGTCAGCCGGTGCTATTAACTAATAAAACATTTATTCAATTACTTATTGATACCTTCAGCGTACAATAAAAGCTGAAAAATGTTAACTCCAGATAAAGACTGTTACGCAAGCTTATTAAACTTCTTACGGACTTATTTTGTTTATTCAGGGCAGCGGTTTCCAAACTTAGAATAATTAAACTTGAAACCATCTTCTCTTCAAGCTCATTAAACCGTAAGCAAAAATATGCAACAAGCCAAATTGTCTAATTTAAAGACTAATTTTGAACATAAACTTTTAGTATTTTAGCATCCAAGCATCGTAACTTAATGACTTTCTTGTATTTTTATGCACCAAAAGTCAAGAATCTAAGGGTTTTACCTTATTATTTGATGGCTCATAGTGGTTTTGCAGGTCCTGAATCACACTCTCAAGTCCAACAACACCGATGTGAGTGTGCGAGCGGTGGTCTGAGTGCGTGTGTTTGTGCAGGAAGCGGTCCGTTTCCTCTCCCCAGGTCCCCTGACCCACCGCCGTACAGACCGAGCCCGGCGAGGACAGGTACAGGACGCTGCCTGCAGCCAGAGCCGGGAACTGAGACACGCTGACTGTCACGTTTTCCTCAACGTTTCCGTTTTCTTCCGTCCCGTGGACAGAGTGATTCCCGATGAGTTGATGAACAGAACCTGCCAGGTCACACTGAGTATTCAAACAAAGAAAGAGACAAAAAAATAAACACCCACACAAATGAGATCGGTTCAACTTTGCAGGAATTAGTCTGTTTTTATAATTGCATTATTCTGGATTCTTGCAATTCTTTTCAAATACAAATCTTCAAGCTGTGGTTTCAAAATTTGGTTCATCCCGACATATTTTCCAAGTATACATTTTTTCTTTTTGCCTTTAATCATGATAACATTTCCTATATTTCTAAGATCACTACTAACTGGATCTATTCTGAGTAGAAACGAGCAAAATCCAAGCTTCAGGAACTGAATTTCACTCAGATCTGTGGAGATGTGAGAAGCAGCAAACGATGAGACGAGTAACATTCATCACAGGCTACAATGTAGACGACCTAATCCTTTAAACTGACAATAATGGTTACATATTTCATGTTGTAAGTTAGACTTGCATTTCGAGTCGTCATTGATCCACTATGAATTGTTTATTGCAACTAAAAGACATGAGGAAGGAAAGTGGGGGATGTTGAACGATGTAGGATCTGAACAGAAACGTTCAAGACAGAAAAATATTACTTTATTCTTCAGTTGTTATACAAAGTTATATTCTGCATAAATAATTATTGATTTTTGTCCCGTTGCAGTCACACCAGAGATATTTCACAGTTTCATGCTGCGCATTGATGCATTTTACAGCTGTCATTGAAGAAGTTCAAGGACTCTGTTCCTACTGATAAAGTATTTTATCGCAACCAGATATTATAGCAGTTTATCAAATTAAACCGGTGGAATAATCTAATATGAAGTAAGGAAAGCAATTCAGCCTCAATGACGAAACAAAAAGGTTTATTATTCTTCTGAGAACCTGACAAGTTCCTACAACTTGTTAGATTAAGAACTTTTTATAAGCAGAGAAAACATGAAATACAATTAAGCTTCATTCTTTGGTCTCAAAAACATCCAGATATAAGGATTTTTTAAAAATCTGAGTGGCTTTTAGTTTGTATGTTTTTATAAAATTTGGAAATAATTCAATATGGATTCAACACTCGAACAGATTAATGCCGTGCTCGACAGTTAACATACAGTTATTTTGGTTTTGAGAAACAAGTGCAGTCAAAATGTTTGCTCTAACAAAAGACGGTAAAAACTACAAATATTTAACTTTCAAGGTGAAAGCATTCCTGGGTGTAAATGTTAGACACAAGTCATATTGTTACACTTTGTAATCATTAAACAAAACTAAAGCAAAAATGTGAAACCAGAATGTAAACTTCACCAGCAGCAGCTTAGAATAATGTGCGAGTTTATCAGCACCTCCGATCTTTGCGGAGGGATTCTGACCTACAAGTTACGACATTACTGCTTAAGTTTATGGAGGCCAGGAACCCGTTTCCAGTTTAAGGTCTGGACTTTGACTGGAATATCACAACACCTCAATTCTTTTCTTTTTTTGATATGTTTTTCAAATATTTGCCAGGTCATTTCAGCCTTTCGGGCTGAGGTCATTTCAGGTAATAAAACAAGCCCAAGTCATGACCCCTCCACTGCCGTGCTCGACAGTTAGCATATAGAGTTATTTTGAGAAATAAGCGCAATTAAGATACAGTCAGTGTGATTGATATAGACACATCTGGGTACAGCTCCTTGTATTTAAAATAGGGCAAGTAAAATAATAGCATAGTTTTTAAATTGTTGTTGAATTAGTGCTGTAGCTTAACTAATTTCTGGTAAATTATGAATTTTATGGGAGATTAAATACATTTTCTGGACTTTTCTTATTCAGATCCAACTCTGCTGCCGCTTCTTTTGCCTTTTTGGAGAGAAGTTTGTTAATAAAAACCGATAAATTTTTTTTCTGACGTGAACTGTAACAAATTTAAATTTAACAATTGCTTAGATTACAATTAGCTTCGATGAGAAAACAACAAAACAATTCAGGACTGTGTCTTTTTGCCAAAAGAAACATTACACTTTAGTTTGCGTGCAAGATTTATGGATTTCATTACATTTATTGGAAAATGTTGCTCTGTGCATATCGCTTTCCCTTTTTTGATTTTACTTTATTTCTGCTACAATTTTACTGATGCAATGAATTCACCTGTTCACAAACTAAAGATGATCCATTTTTACTTTTGATAAAAACAGCTTTCATTAATCAATGCATTTATTTATAGCTGTGGTTCTCAAAGATGGGGTCGGGACCTTCTGGTGGTCACAAATCAACGATTGTGGGGTCATGAGATGCTCTTCAAAAACCAACCCAATAAAAATATCATTGTAAAGCATATTTATGATATAAGAAGAGATCAATAAAAATAATATATTTTCTGATCATTGTATTTTTAATGCCATGTCCATTTTAGCCACGGCTAATTCAGATTAGCCGTGGCTAAAATCAACATGATAAGAAAAAGAAAATTGCTTGAACACACCTGCTTTAAAATGTGTTAATTTTCTGGTTGCATTCAAAAAAGTTTTAAAGAATTATTAATAAAAATATATACTATTTTTTTTAAACAAGAAAGTTTTTGCATTTTAACTGATGTGAACAAAAGTGCATCTTTTCCACTTTAATTAGTTAATTTAATGAAAAAATATTTTTATCCTTTCAAATAAAAGGCAATTAATTGAGAACACATAATTAGTAAAACAAAAATATTATATTAATGTTATTTTGTTGCCAATTTATGCAGATATTGTATGCAAACACAGATAAACTACTTATACAAGCTATTTTACTATTATTATTATTATTATTGTATAATATTTTTTTAAAATGCTGCAAAGTTTAATATATTTTTTCTAGAAAAACTAAGAGACCCTGAAGGAAATGGAGCCGCTGCAGGGTAATAATAAACCAGCAACCAGGGTATCTGCAGGTTAAACATTTAAGATCGCTTTTATTCTCTTAATCAACATTAACAAGTAAAATTAAATTCTCTGCGTTATTTTTTTTCCATTCAAATAAATTCTAGTTTGAAGAAAATAAATAAAAATGTGTTTTTGCTCATTTTTTGAAATTGTCAGGATAATCTGGAATTAGGCTATTTAAAATATACACAGTAGAATTAATTAACTTCGCTTTAAATTATTTTTTAGTCATTTACTTATTATCGTTTACTTTGTTTTTAACTAAACCAACATATTATGACCAATATTTTTTTTTTTTTTTTGCATCTAATCAGAAAATCCTTTGTATTTAATGATCAGGTAACCAGGAGCTCTTGGACCTCGACCTTTCTGTCCCCGAGCAGCAGTTCGGCTCCCGGCTCCATCTACCTAAACCCGGCAGCCGGGTTCGGCCCAATAAAACTCACCTTTCCACACGGCACCTCGCCGCACTGCACACGCTTCTGCAGGGTATTAAAGAGGGAGCGCAGGGACTCCCCGCTCAGGAAGCGCTGGCCCGGAGACACGACGCCCACGACCGCGCTGTACGCGTCCTCCACAGCCGAAGCGGAACCGACCGAACCCGGGCAACAGGAGAGGCAGAGAAGCAGCAGGACGACGGACTTCATCTTGAAACTTTCTTCCGCTGGGAGGAAGAGTGTGAAGCTGCAGCAGCGGCGGCGCATTGAGCCGCGCGGAGCCGCAGCTCGCAGATATACTCCTGAAAAGCCGCCATGCTGTCGCCGTGTCCGCTCTCTGGGTTGTGATTGGCTGAGACGCGGCGCGCAGTTTAGCGCACCTGTTGCCTGCAACACCTACAGACCAGAGAGGGTCTTCAGCAACACGAGGTACCTCCTGCTGTTCGCTGGCTGCCTGGAATACAAATATTGAATTTAGTATTTTAATGGAACAAATGGAGTGTTAATGATCTGAAGCGTGACCTCTGGAAAAATGTTACATAACATCAGTGGATACAAAGGGCAACTTTTTAATAATGACTGGAAATACCAAAAATACATGACAAAACTTTAACAATATAGTATGACCTTTGGAGGAAGCTACTATTGTCTAAACGTTTGTGAAATGACTAGTTTTGTCAGTTTTTGATCATTTAGGTGACTTTGCCCAGGGCGGGGCTGCCTGGTGCTGCAGGTAGGCCTGAAACTATCCTGCATGCGCAGTAGAATAATGTGCTCAGTGGTTCACCAACCACCACAAGAAAGAAGAAGAATTAGTGCTCAGTTAATTCTTCTTCTTAGTTATTGCAGAAGTAAACATGGATGCTAACGGTGGAGCATAACTTATTATTTTAAAATTGGAGCCAGTACTTTAACAACTGAATCCTCATTACATTCCGCCATAGAAGATATTTTTCTTCCCGCTTGTGCGTGTCAGGGCAGAATAGTGACATTTGTCGGGAATCGATGACGTTCAAGTCGGTCGGATGCGACCTGGATGGGAGGTCACATCTGAATTGGATGCGTATCGGATCTGAGTCGCATTCAAAAAGAATCCGACCTGCGTTGTTCAGACTATCATGAGAAGATCGGACACAGGTCGCATTACGTAAAAAATTAAAAAATCGGCATTGGGTCACTTCAGGCTGCAGTGTGAACACAGCCCAGACGACCTGGGTAGCATTTTGAAAAATAAAAAAAATCCGACCTGTGTTGTTCAGACTGTCATAAAAAGATCAGATACAGTAATTAGGTCACTTCAGGCTGCAGTGTGAACACAGCCTTAGTAGCGCTGTTGCCTTCTTGAGAGAAGAACCAGACCTGGATGGAGTTTTCAGGTTCTCTAACTGCTACGTATCTTTAAAGTGTGGCTGTACTTTAGCCCACTTTTTCAGAACTTTTCATTTTTAAAAATTGTTGTGAAGTTACGCTGATGCCTTCTGTCTAGGCCAGCTAAGATATTGTTTTTGAGACGTTGGCTTATTGTCACGCTCCATACAATCAAGTTCTTTAGAGCACAAATCGATGATGGATATATATATTCCTTCAGGATGGTGGAGAGCAGGATTTCTGGTTCTGTCACACAGCAAAATGTTTATGTTTATCACCAAAGCAGGCCCAGATCATTACACTACCACTATAATGTTTTTTCTGTAGGTCTCATTTAAAAATATGTGTTCATTTAACATGGATATAATGAGATGCATCCCTTTTGAAATGGAATCTGGGTTGGGTGGAGATCTGTGCGTCCGGATCACTGAAGGAGGAATCGCTGCAGTGGATGTAATCTACACAAACAACCATCGTAGACAGGGATACAAAAATCAGCGTAGAACATAAGGAGGTTCTGGGAACCTTTACTAGATTATTGACTTTTTTCTTCTCATCTATTCTTAAGGTAAGGTATGTTGTCTTTTCAGATCTTTTAGCTCATTTCATGTTCTCAGATAAGCTCTACGTTTGGAAAACAGATTGATGATTTGCACTACAAATTACCCTGGAGTATAAGTGTGTACATTAAATTAAAAAGTTTAAGCCAGATATTCCTTGCTTAGTTATTCAGGTTACAGATTATTCTTCTCAACCCACTGTCTATCCTTAATGTCTGATCTTAGTTAATTTTACCCATGTTTATTGGGGTCTAGAATCAATCCCAGGAAGCTGAGCCAAACCCAAACCCTCTAAGGACCTCAGGATACAAGAAACACCAGGATACAAGGCAATTGGGACCAGGCTGCTAAGTAAACTCAGGACTAAAATCATATTTAATCTAGGTTTTCATTAGCAAAACTGATAATACAGATTTATTTTAATTGTTTATTTGCTTGATGACACAACAGACGTCACAGTAAGTCTGTTTTACTCTGTTAAGACAATAAATACTACAAGCCAGTTCAATTAACTAGAATATTTTTGAAAACTAATTTCAAACATATTCAATGAGGGAAAGAAATAGATTTTTTGTTTTTGTTTTTAGGTTAATTATGACGATTTTCACTTACAACTAGTGAAAACACAACATTTAAGATAAAAATATTACATCAGACCAAAGAAATAAAATGTTTTAATTCAGAAATGTGGACCAAATATGTTTTTTTTTCTTTCTTTCTGTTTTTCTTTCAAAACGTACTTTCTAATTTGACAAACAAGCCTGGATCGCGTATTCTAATTTATTGACTGTAACTGACTGAATTAATGACTTGCATTGTTTAAAAAAACAAACTCGTAACTTTGTTTCTGTTGAACTTGTTTTATATTTTACATTAGATTAGAATACACTGTTTTATCAGAAGCTTGACAATCCGCCCAGGGCTGATAAACGTCACAAAACACTGACTCACAACCTCTAAGTAATAGTTGTTTTAAATATATAAGGTACATTTAAACTAGCATGTGAAGAATACAATTATCCAGAGATCTCAAATTGGACAGTAAATTTGTCTCGAGATTTTTTAAAACCCTGACTCCATTTTATCGATATATCGATAAAATGGAAGTTATTTTTCATTATCAGTGGATTTTCCTCTATTTAGAACAGGAGAGTCTGATGAATCCGGTGAAGATCTGAAAAGGAGACCGACCGTATCTCTTTTTGAGATATTTCTAGATAGCTTCAAGTTCAATGTTTGTGGTACAAGCTATTCAGATTGTCAAGGAGCGAAAGAAATCCAAAACACTGTCATCTGCAGAAAGCTGATCATCAGGAAACACAGGAACAAGTTATCAAAAATGGGAAACTCTTGAACAGTAACACGGGTTCAACATTAGCCTGGAGGAAAAGGACGTCAACCAATAAAGAACGCTTCGCTCCAGACTCCGTTAAGCCTAACTAGAATTTGGATGAAAAAGTCAAAAACCTTTTGGAGAAAAGATTCCTGTTAAAACAAGACAAAGATTGGACTGTTTGACCTCAACGGCAGGAAGATCGGTTGGTAAAATGAAGAGGAGGCTTTCGCTAACCGTCAGGTACGGCGTTGGTTGAATCCTGCTTTTGGGCTGAATTTTAAAAAAAAAATTTGATAATTGATTACATTTTTTTCCTGATTTTATTAGAAGGTGTCCACTCATATGGAGACATAGATTTGTTTTCTTATAACTTTCATTAAAAATCCACTTGAAAATGAAGAGTTCACTGAAAACCTCCTGGTTGTTCCACCAAATGTTGATTTCTGAACTGAGCTAAAACATTAATATTGTTTCTAAATGAATATCAACTTGTTTTCTTTGCATTATTTCAGGTCTGAGAGCACTGCATCTTATTATTTTGACCATTTCTTATTTTCTAATAAACAAAATGTTTGCTTGGAATTTCAGAGACATGCAGTTCCTGGAATAAAAGAACAACGTTCATTTCACTCAAACAAAAACCTATAAGAAGTAAAATCAGAGAAACTGACAATTTAAAATGGTCTTTTTGATTATTTCCAGAGCTGCATATATGTATTTTATCTTTGAGGCAAGCGGTCTTTTCTTTCTGTCCTCAGAGATGATTAGTTTCTAGATATCTTTATCATCACAATGTATGTTTGTGCTTCACTGTTTGTCCCCTGAAATCTCAATATGTTGAAAACGTATCTTATCCAAGTAGTGAATAACAATCAGAATAGGAAGAGAAAAGTGGACCATTCTTCAAGATGTATTGCTCGCTATGTTGTGCCACTAGATGGCGCATCTGCTCTTCATAACAGGAAATTCCTACATTTCCTCAAGACCAGACAGGAAACAAATGTTTTCAGAACAGTCTGGAGAACCTTGTGGCATTAATATGGTACGTTTTTGTTAAAATTGCCCTTAAAAACAACGTGAATCCAAACTTTTCTACAAAATCAAAAAAGAAGTGCAGAAACATTGAGCGATTTATTTCACATCAGTTTATTTGTAAAGCTAGACATGTCAGAAATGTTGTAAAGTACTTTGTTCGTTGTTCAAAAATGAAATGCTATTGAGTTCAAATCCGTTTGCAGTGGTTCACTCTGCCCAAAGTTGAATTCTGATCTAAATACATACAACATTGTTGAATTCTAATTACGTTACAGTGCAATTAAACCTAGCTTACCATTCAAACCAGTTGGTACAAAGTGACTTTCTATGGAAGCCCTTGTGTTTGCATTTATTCACTCACAATCACTTCTCTTGAGCAAGCATGTGGCGACAGTAGACAGGAACATTTCCCTGAAAGTTCAGCTGCTGTTGGGCTTTTAAACTCAGGGAATAGTTACACTACCACCAAAGCAATTCATTATATCACACTATTTAAAGAAGATATGACAAACTGCTTTGGCAGGTTAGAAACTGAGGTGTTTTTCTAACATATTTGAATATATAAATATATTGATTTAAGCAATATTAACATTTCTCAAGACTAAAAATAGGTTTTAATAATAAATTATTAATCTGATGTAACATTCTCATCTCGAATGTCTAGTTTCCATTCACTGTAAGGGGAAAAGCATCAGACTTTAGAAAAATTAAGGCTTGAAAATATCAGTATGTATGTACTTTTTTTCACAAATTGAATGCATTTTCTAATAGTAAGTAAATTTAATTTCCAAAGTCTAATTAACTGCAATGGTCTATTAATGACAATATCAGGCATTTATGAGGAGGAAAAACTCTCTGTGTTTTGAGGGATGGTGTTTATGTTTAACATAAAAACATTTAATTTTGTTGTAAATCTACCAGTTGTATAAATACTTTTCTTTTTTTTTTAGTTTGAATGCAATCACACAGGAAAAACAATTGTGCATGGTGCCACAAATCAAGGGACTGT